TAAAAAGGGACATGCTAAAAGACATAATTAATTGTCAGTTTGGTCATGATAATGCCGAGTTCGAATTTGAACCTCTCTGTCACATGAAATGCACATGTTGTACTGTACTTTATGAATGAATTTGATAATTTCATAATCAACCCCCATATATATCATATTTAAAAAATCACACGCGAAATCAAAGGAACCAAGATGTGATAATACATTTGTTTTTTATTACAATCCGTACGTTCACTGTTTTACTTTAATTCTAAGCCCGTAAATTTAGATACAATCAATGCAAACTCTTTGGTCCTTTGAATAAACTTATTGTTAAATGATATCAATTTAACACAGTTGTAAAATCTTTGAATATTGTTTTTATCGGTACAAATGTACTAAGTTTAATAATATTGATTTCGTTTTTGATAAAATGAAAACCTTATGTTTTTGTAATTCACAAGGTCATGCTTTTCGCAGACAGTTTATGACGTCTTTACACCATATCTGGTGTATGTGCACTGATTGATACTTTAGTCAGGAAGAAAAGGATTTATTTATGTGTTGTCATTGGCTTTGAACTAGCTTTCAGTAACTGTGAGAAGATCGGCACTCTGTGTGTTTTGTCTTTATGTCGTTGTTTTTGTCCTTCATGCCGATCTGATGAGTCAAATCTTTTCCAACTGATGTTTACAGCTTGTTCTGATGTTATGCTACTACAACCAGTGTCCCAAATTAAGGGAGCGTTGAGACGTCACAAGCATATATAACTCCGCCACATTCCATATGTGCCTGTCTCAAGTCAGGGGCGTGATGGTTGTCGTTAGTTGCTGTCGGTCATATGTTTGTCGTTTATTGTTTCGTCATTAATCAGGCAGTTGGTTTTATCGTTTGAATATTGTTAAACATTTTGTCATGTCGGAACCTTTTATAGCTATATATGAGTTTTCCTCATTGTTGAAGACCATACGGTGACCTGGTTGCTTAAGTCCGCTTCTGGTGGATTCTGGTGGATAGTAACTGTTGTCTCATTTGCAATCATAGTTACCTTTATATTATTAGTTTACTTTACAAAGTTTTTACTTTCAAATTCAAATCACCAATTATGAAAGCTAGTTACTAAAACAATCATGGAGATCAAACTCGTAATAATTATACATGTAATTCATCATATCAATAACGAGGGCGGACGGACTCTGTTAGCTAGTGAACCCTGGCGAACGGAACCGCTGTTCAATTCTTTATTCATCTATATTCCGACGTTTAAATTCCATACATATAACATTTAACTACTTTACAACAATAAGATTTTACTTTTTAATTACTGTAACACGTAACTGTATTAGCAAGCGCCGTTTTTATACAGACAAAGATCAGCAGCCGGTTGTACGAACGTTGCATTAGCCTAATGGGTCATTAAGTCGTCAATTTAAAGAATGATTAGGTTAATACTTTTTTTGTTTAAGTTTCATTTTGATTAGTAAACAAGTCTGCCATTACTAAAAAAAAACAAAAAATTCGCACAGAAAAAAAAATCGTTTTCTTGAAACCCATCTAATTAGACAAAAATGAAAAAAAAAAACACTATTTCTTTCCATGGTTCCAGAGCTGTATTTAATTGACCCCGATCATGCAGTAATGCCATTGAGAAAATACAGTTTTGTGACAATGGAAATGATACATTTTTTTGAGAGAATTGATTAGCCTATTGAAACAAAACTTCATACAAGAACGGTTCCGTGTAAGTACAATGGTAATTTTTGTTTTTATATTAAAGTATATGAAAGATAAAATAATATCTTTTCCAAGAAATACTACATTAGTTGAAAGTTAAAGACACACGGTAAAAATTAGGCTAAATACCACCATTAGGAACATATGGCAAACTTACGTAACTGAGAAAGTATGGCTAAATACTAGCATTAGGAAATGTTACAAAACTATATAACTTGTATGAAAGTAAGGAGATGTGGTATTGCCAACGAGACAACCGTCCACTTTAGTTCAAATGAAGTGGATATAAGCAATTATAGGCCAATATACGACCTTCAACTAGGAGAAAATCCCGCACCACATAGCCGGCTATAAAAAGCCCCCCCCCCCCCCCCCCCCCCCCCCAACATGATAAATGTTAAACAATTCAAACGAGAAAACTAACGACCGCATTTATAACAAATTAATTTATGAAAAATAAATATGACAGACAAGAACATCGATAACAACTGAATTATAGGTTCCTAACTTGGGACAGGCACATAACTAATGTGGTGGGGGTTAAACTTGTCTGTGAGCGCTCATATTTACCATTTACTGAGACAGTGATGTAACAGTACACTATAAGAACCAACTGCAAAATTCAGTTGGCATTAGCAGAACTCAAAAGATCGGTTCCAGACACAAAAGCAACAAATATAAAGTCAATAGACACAAAGCACTGATATAAGAGTACTCGCAGTAACTAAAAGCTAGTTTAAAGCTAGTCCAAAGGCAAAAACAACTAATGAATAAATCATGTTCTCCCAGACTAACGTATCAATCAGTACCCATCTACTGGATTGCATAAACTTGTGCAGTGCCAAAATATAAGTAAGCAGTATCGACAGGATGTACGATCCTAACTGTACATATATATAGCAACATATATTTAGTTATGTTTTAATTTTTTTTAAACAAAATCAATCTTAGTACTGGAAATTAAAAAAAAACAACAACAAATTCAATGTTATACCAATAAAGACAACAATTAAAGATTTTACATAAATTACGTTCATTGAAATACAACCATTATGAAAGTATGGCAAAACTACATCACTCAGAAAGTTTCACTAAATACAACCATTAGAAAAGAATGACAACATAATATCACTAACAAAGTTTGACTAGATAAAACCATAAGGAAAAATATTTCAAATTACATCACTGAGAAGGTATGCCTAAATACACCCATTAGGAAAGTATGGCAAAACTACATCACTAAGAAAGTTTGACTAGATAAAACCATAAGGAAAAATATTTCAAATTACATCACTGAGAAGGTATGCCTAAATACACCCATTAGGAAAGTTTGGCAAAATTACATCACTAAGAAAGTTTGACTAAATACAATCATTAGGGAAGTCTGGCAAAACTACATCACTAAGAAATTTTGATTGAATACAATCATTAAGAAAGTATGGCAAAACTACACAACTAATAAAGTTTGACTTAATACAATCATTTGGGAAGTATGGCAAAACTACATCACTAAGAAAGTTTGACTAAATACAATCATTAAGGAAGTTGGGCAAAATTACATCGCTAAGAAAGTTTGACTAAATACAATCATTAAGAAAGTATGGCAAAACTACACAACTAAGAAAGTTTGACTAAATACAATCATTAGGGAAGTCTGGCAAAACTATATCACTAAAAAAGTTTGACTAAATACAATCATTAGGAAAGTATGGCAAAACAACATCACTAAAAAAATTTTGCTCTAATACTAGCAAAATTTGGTTAAACGTTTAATGATTTATTGCAAGTTCCGGACTACGATTAGATCATACTTTGACATTGATGTCAGCCAATATTGAAATTGCCCGAATACAGTTTTACATGGCAGTCTATCAGCAAAATATTAAGAAATCATTTACTATATATAGAAATATTGAAATAATTAAAACCAGACAGAACTTTGTAGTTATGGTAATTTAAGTTGGTGTCATTCGGTCATCTTGCATGTCTGTCAGCAGGCATTACATTTACATTCACAGTAGTGCCTATTATAATATTTTTAAGAGTTTATAGAAACCAGACTGTTGGGAAGGTTAGTTTTGATACTTTGACAGAGTGTTATTATTTTGATATCTACAAATTAACAAGTATGTCCAGTTGAAGCGACCTGAGTTTTACATTGAGTCAAGAATCACGTCTTAAAATTAAGAAACTTTTCATCATATGATACACGATGTGGTTTTACAGGTCTTGAAAATGAGGACATTTTTAACAAACAAGATATATTTGTCAAATGGTTAATATATATGAATGTATGCCTTTACTCCGTAGATGCATTGGCATTTACAATTAAGAAATAATTCATGGGGGCTCGAATTTATCGTGATTTTACCACTGGCTGGCCCTTCATGCTTAATATTTTAGTACGAGCGACAGTGAGGGGTAAATTATCAGCATAAAAGGCCAACCCGTGGTAAAATCAATATAAGTTCAAGCCCCCTTGAATTATTTCTATTTTAATTGGACAAAGACAGCAATTGTTTTGGATCGAAGCGCTCTATGTGAAGGGAAATGTTTGCTGTTCCCGAAATTGAACACACTATTAATATTGACGTAAACGACGAAGGAAATTGAATAAGTAACATTCTTAAACGATATACAATAACATACTAAGACAGATCTGGATGAAATTGATTGACTATCTTACTTTCATTTAAGAAGATATGGACATTATACAAATTTTTATCGTTTGTTTGTGTTTTCATGTTTTGACGACTTTCAGTTTCCCTTTCGTGCATTTTCCTGTAAAATCCTTATATTCTTACGCCATCGTTCAATGACGTCATTTACACCATCTGACGTGAGGTAAACCATTAATGAAAAGCATACGACGTGGGAGTAAGATTGGAAAAGCCCATACAAATCATGACGTTGACTATCAGCTGACATATGAATATATTCGAATTTTATCGTACTCAAAGCGTTTGAAGAACATCATATTAGAATTTTTATTTAACCATGAACTACAATAAATAAACAACGATATCAGGGAAAATAATAAAAATTGCTGAATCATAATAGGAAAACCACAAAATCTATTTATAATCTTTGCTTTAAAATCAAATGCTAGTAGTCTTGACATTACATACGCTTTTTTGTTCGACGTAAACGATATCTAACACATGCACATCATTCAGAACTAGTTAGAGCATTTTTAATACAGGATTATCACTAAACAGCTAAAGAATAAATTATTCTGTTGATATTGAAAAAAAGGATTATGTCGATTTGAAATCATCAGTAAGAAAATGAAAAGTTCGCGTACTACTGTGTCCGATTGGAACGATTATTTTGCCATTATACTGATTCCTAATTCTATTTTCCTAGTGTTGTATTTATCTCTTGGCATTACCGGAAATAGCTTGGTTATTGCAGTTTACAGATTGAGAATGAAACAACAATCCGAAGACAGGTACTTTATTCCAGTGTTGGCGGTATGTGCCTTATCAGCTTGTATAGTGTGTGTGTCCATGGCAATTGCATTGAACATGATGTAAATGTCTTTGGTATTGTGCAGCGTCTACCACATTTATGTCCATATTATAGCGATACATAGATATCTTAAAAGTTGTCGTCCTTTCGGAAAACAGATGTCAACTTTTACCAAAAGGACTGCACTGTTGTTTGCGTTTTGTTTTTCTTTCCTATACTATATTAGGTGCACCTAGTGCATTTCTTTATGGATCTGTAGAATTTTCCAATCCCGATATGAATCTTACAGGACGACGATGTTGCAAGCTCAAAGATGTCAGTAAGATTGCATCGCTCGATTATAGTGCAGTACATGTAATTGCAGTAGTTTTGTTAAGCACTGCCAGTATTCTTATTGTACTGTATGGAAAAATTGGACGTACAATTTTTACACACTTTAAACACAGAAACATAGAAATAAAAGCAATGAATCATTTGACAAGCACAAGTAATTCGCGCTCACAAAAAATTGCAGCGACTCCATCAACAAATCAAGAAAGTTTTAAACAAGAACAGTCCTCTGATCCCCACAAAAATCTTGTTATTGAAAATAATGACTACAGTGGCACAGACTCAAGAAATAAGGATACGAAAACACTAAAGCTTTTTAGCTCAGAGGAACTTAATAGAAGTATTATGTACAAGTTCACACTAATGTTTATGGCAATAACTATAATATTTCTTATTAGCTTTATTCCCAAAATATTTTTTATGGTTATGGAAGGAAGGGATTCTGAGTTTTGGGAAAAGCTCTCCAGTAGTGAGAGAGCTGGTTTACGTTTTCTGTATCGATTGTACATTCTCAATAATGTCGTTAATCCTTTTATTTACGCTTTTATGGATATGAAGTTTCGGAAAGAGGCAAAGAAATTAATAAAATGTATATTATAGAAATTTCAGATTAAACACTGAATGATGTAATACAATTATTAATATCGAAATACATTTCGTATGTATATCTGAGTTAATAGTGTCAGAAGATAATGTTTGAGACAATCTTATATAAAAGTGCCAAAGATGATAATAAATTAAAAAAAAAGTGAAAGGAAACACAAAGTTATGAATCATAAAATATCAGATCAAGGCAATAAAAATCACTAAACCTAAAATACAAACGCCACAAAAACCAAATGCCTGTTAATCATATAAGATCATGGCGACCAAAAAACAGAAATCAGACAAATACAATGTTGAAAGCAGTCACAATAAACAATGCAAGATAAAAACATTTATATAGATATCGGAGTAGCACAAGCACCAAAGTAACCAAAAAGAACTTGTCCTACTGTTGAAGAAAACTGCATTAGTTTAACCAACTCAGAAGAAGAATGAAAAAAGCGAGCATTCCCATTATGCTATATATAAATGACGCATTTTCAAAGAACACAGTTTGGTGACTTGGATAATCACACGTATCAAATTGAAGTTGAAATAAAGGTCAAACTTTTAGAGCTCGTAAATTATGACACGACCAATATAAACGTATTATATAATGAAAAGATGTGGTGTGGTTGCCAATGAGACAACCATAAAAAAGATTTCAAACTACGTACGTGGATTAAAGCAATTATAGGTCACCATACAGCCTTCTACAGTGCGCAAAATACAATCCCATATAGGCAGCTATAAAATGCCCCGATATGACAAAATGTAAAACCATTCAAACAAACAAAAAACTGATTTATGACAACAATATACGATTATAACAGTCAGCAACGAAAAACAATCATTGAATTACAAGCTGCAGACTTGGGACATTCACATACAGAATTTGGCGAGGTTAAACATGTTTGTTAGCGCACAACCCTTCCCATACCTGTGTATGGAAAAATGTTCCTTTGTAAAACCCGTATTTAAAAGTTATCAAGAAGTAAAATAACAAACCTACCGAACTCCAAGGAAAATTCAAATCGGAAAGTCCCTTATCAAATGGCAACATCAAAAGCTCAAACACATCAAACGAATGGAAAACAACTGTCATATTCCTGACTTGGTACAGTCATTTCTTCATGTAGAAAATGGTGGATTAAACCTGGTTTTATAGCTACTAGTAGCTAAAACTCTCACTTGTATGACAGTCGCATAAAATTCCATTATATTGACAACAATGGGTGAACAAAACAAACAGAAATTTTAGGTAAAAAAATGTCAAAAATAGGGGTACAGCAGTCAACATTGTGTTATAATCTTAATCACTTAAACAAAAACCAAACAAATATGCCAACAAAGAAAAAAAATTGCATATAGACAAAGCACATAAGCAAAAATGAATGACAGGAATACAAAAAATGACCACAGCACAACAGCACAAAAAATGAATGGCGGGATGCATAAGTACCGAGCCACGCCAAAAGGATATTACCAAAATATCCTACTAGTAAACAGTAAAGGTATATATTTTACAAATACAAATAAAAGAACACTGTAATATGTAATTTAGATGATAAACAACGTCAGTACCTAGAATCTATACTTCAAGACCATCATGTATTATTTTTGAAGTTGATACGGAATATTCATCAACAAGGTCTTGGTACCTTCCGATGAACGTTCGTTGACATAACCCTGGTTCATCAACCTTCTGCTCAGACACTGGTGACGTTTTATAAAGTCTGAGTAGCAGCTGCAAGCACTTGAATACTGAATGAGTTGGGAAATGTATATCCCATATGCAGGTGAAGTTGGTATATTGGTACTAAGGTGGGGGAAATTGATAATTTCAAAATTAAAATCGTCTCGTTTGTCATAGATTCTAGTGCTGAGATAGCCGCTTATGTCAAATTCGAGGTATAAGTCTAAAAATGAGGCGGAGGAAGCCGTGTCTGTTGTTTCTTTAATTTCTAGTTCTGGAGGCTATATTAATGGAACCCAATCAGAAAAGTTTGGATTGTTAATGGAAACAACAATATCAATATATCTGAATGTAAAATTAAATGATCTCTGGCTTCTTTGATCTTCTTGTTTTTGACAAGTGTCTGAAGGAACTCCGACTGATATGAAAACAAAAAGAGGTCCGTAAGGAGAGGCGCACAGTTCGTTCACATAGGAATGCCGATAATTTGTTGAAAAGGTCTACCTCCAAATTCAACAAATATGTTGTCAATAAGAAACTCCAGCATACTGATAACTTTTTCCTCTGTGTAGACTGTTTTACCTTTTTGGTCACTATTAACAAAATATGCGGTATGGTATCCCAAAGTAATAAATTTATAGCGTATGCTACCATTTTTATATTGAAAAACATTGTGGAATATTTCTTTTAGACGATTTTTCAATTTCACATGGGGAATGGTGGTATACAGGGTGGAAAAATCAAAAGTTTTGATAGAATTAATTTCAGAGAAAGATCGCGATTTAAAATTATCCAGAAGTTCTCTAGAGTTTTTTATAATCCACATATGGTTAATACCCCTACGCGAGTTAATAGTTTCACAGTATTTCTTAAGACCTTCTTTCACTGCAATATATAATGGTAGAAAGGTCTAAGAATATTGTCTGTATGATCAGCACAGATATTAGTTTATTGTTTTATATTTTAATACATAACTAAACATGTATTGCTATCAGGTAATACCACTTACGGCCCTACATCATGTCGGTACTTAATCATTCCACAAGACTTCTTTCCATTGGCAGTTAACTTATTGACAGTGAATTGTCTGGGCGAACATGATTTTTCTATTAGTTAAAATTGGGCTATGAACCAGCTTTCAATTACTGCGATTCTCTTGGATCGGTACTGTGTCTTTTCTATTTTTGTGCTTAGTATCGATCAAACGAGCCCAACGGGTTTTAACAGATTTTTCGTTTGATATGTTGTTTCACAACAGGTTAAATACATGGTTGAGCTCAGAAACTCCTGAACTACACTACATTTTCTATGTGCCTGGCCGCGAACCTGTTGTCCACTAGTTGTAATTGGTTGCTGTCTGCCACTTTTGCTTTTCTTTGATTGTTGTAGTATAAATCAGGCCGTTGGTTTTCTCTTCTGAATTGTTTCATGTATAGTCATACTTGATAATGCCCTTTAGATATTACTATAAGGTACGTTTTTTCTTTCTATCTTTTATGATTTCTGCAAAAAAAATAAAAACGGAGAAAAAACATCTTTTAAGGGCAATAAAGCCAGAAATTTAAGCGGTCAACTGATTATTTCGGTTAAGTTGACTTATTTGTAGATCTTATTTTGCTGAAAACTTTTGCTGTGCACAATTTCTCTCTATCTATTATAGTTTCTGCAACACAAAAATGAGCATAATAAGTCTTTTAAACACAACAACTACCACAGGGGATCTATTGACAATTCGTCCATGTTGACTTATTGGTTAATCTTATTCAGCTGAACACTTGACTTTTACAATTTCTCACCATCTATTATAGTTTCTGCAAAAAATGCAAAAAAATGGGCAAAATTAGTCTTCCAAGGGCAATAACTCCCTTAAAGTGTCAATTGACAATTCTTCCATGTTGATTTATTTGTAGATTTTATTGTTCTGATCATTTTTAAAAGCAAAATCTCTCACTGTCTGTTGTAGTTTTCAAGATAATAGCTAAAAACTTCGAAATTGTTTAAAAATTGACATTTCAAGGGCAATAAATCCAAAATGGAGAGTCTGATTATTCTGAAAATTTCGCAGAAAATAGACCTTGACCTGCTGGTCAAGTTAACTACTGATTAGATTTGATCTAACTGCTTTCATCTTTTCAGATATAAGCCAAACGCTTCATTTTACCCCTATGTTCTATGGCGGCCATGTGTCTTAACTCACCGGAATAGAAAACACAACCTTTATACTAGATACCACTAGTATCATTCAATCCATTTTTTTGTTGAAATTGGTCTAGTAGTTTCAGAGAAGATCTTTGAAAAAGTTTAAACCGAACGACAGACGACGAACGACGAGTGGTGGCAAAAGCGCACATGGCCAGGTGAATTTAAGAGGAACATGACATTATGCATGTTTATACGTATTAAAACTTATAAATGGACAAACAAAACCGCACACCTGGATGTATGTGCCAATGCAACAATGGCCACTCTTCAACATTAAAGAATAGAATTATTTTTTGTTGATCTTGTATTGCTGTTCATTCTTTTTTCTGTTTCTTTCGTTCTACTATAGATTTGGCCAGACACATACAACAGGGTAAAAATGTTCATTCAAAGTAACAACTGTCAACTGACAATTTCGGAAATGTTGACTTATTTGTAACTCTTGTGTCATTATTTTTCGCTGTTAACAATACTCAAATATACTAAACTCAAGGTTTAATGTGTTTTGCATAACCTTACTATAAAATCAATGCTACTTTAAATAACTGTGTGATAAACTCGAATTATAACAATACACTTGTATTTAATAATTCACGTATCATTCTCAAAAGGATGCTAACATTAATATCCTATAGTTGTAGGATTTATAAGTCTTAAATTATCCTTCCGTCGGATGACAATTTGTTGGTTTCGTGCAGCAATAAAAGGAGTTTTCTGATTGATGTAGGGATTCAGCATGTTAAAATAACTGTTTCCTTTCTTTGACAAATATAAATGTTAAGCAATAATCAAATTAAGCTTGCGCAACACAGTTAGTCACGTATTAGAGCAAAAAATCGGACTAATTGTATCAAAATATGAAGAAAGGATATATAGTCTTTTCACTCGTTCTCAATAACAATTTGGTCAATGATCGCATATTTCTTAAAAAACGGTCATACAATACGAAAAACTATATCCTGCTATTAATCACTTTTACAATGTATTTACATGCTATTGACTCGTCTGTAGTAATATTGTGATTTCAGGAGGCAGGTGTAAATGGCTGCGTATGTGGGCATATTGTGAATTCAGTAAGCAGGTATCTGTGGCCTTTTCTGTGGTCATATTGTGAATT